TCTATAAATACAACTAAAATTCTATTTGCCCTACCACTAGCAACAGCACACTGCTTGGATGGCTTTAGAGACTGATTGCCATTTACACCAAGATCCCTTTCCTTCATAACACTGTTAAGGTTATTCCCATTCAAATTATGATAACCCACATGCATTATCTTGCATTTATTATAATTAAAACCCACCTGACATTTATTTGCCAAACTCACTAACTGATCTAAATCCTTTTGTAAATCAGCAGCATCCTCTTCACAGCTAGCAACACCAAAGACCTTAATATCATATGCAAATTTAAGTAATTTATTGACTATCCCTTCATTTATGTCATTGATGTAACTCAAAAAGAGCAAAGGTCCTAAGACTGAGGGCTTGTGAGGGGTTTCCTAAATTACCAGCTTGGAAGCTTAAATAATTTAAATGCATACTTAGTCGTTACTACCCTCAAGTGGTTTCAGATTAGTTTTTAAATCCACATCACGCATAAAATATTTTTTTCCTACTAAAGATCTCCTCCCCATTCCTTATTGTTCCTGGCTTTTCTATCTTTACACGTGTAGAGACTATAAGGCCTCCTATATTGGCAAAACCAAACGCCATTTAAAAGTCAGAGCCTATGAACATATGGGATTTCCATCAAAATACTAAACAAAAAAAAAAAACTCTGTGTTTCCTCTATACGCCAAAATAGTGAAGAAACAGGACATCAACCTATGCTATCAAATTTTTCTATCCTCTGCAAGTCTAATACTGACCTGGAATTATTGATTAAAGAAACCCTCCACACCAAACAGCACTCTCCAACACTGAACAACATGCAATTTTCATTTAAATTATACATTTTTTAATATGTTCGTATTAGTGATTTTACTTTTTTCTGTGTTTCTTGCTACAGTTTCTCCTCATGATTACTGTTTAGTGTTTTATTTGTTTAATTATCGTTATATTTAGCAATTGTACTCGGCACTAGTTACTAAGTTAGGACTAGGTATAATATGATACACACTACTACTATTAATATTATTTATTATTATTATACTAAACTAAAAGTTTTGTAATAAAACAGTTAAGTTATTTTACTGGCTCCTACACATAATAAACTTACCATTTTTAGTAACTTTTTGGTTAAAGTAAGTCTTGTTTTTTAGTTGTCCTCTCTGCGAAAATTCGCTTCACTGAGGATACAGCAGTCGAACGAAACCAAACACACGTGGTTCAACTGGAGTACGATAGCGTCGTCTACAAAAATTGTATTTTTAACAGAAAAAGAGGATTATATATAAATATATATATAATAACAACAATGATTCTTTGTTTGTTTTAGCGTAGAGCTGCATAATAAACTATCTACACTTTGTTCATTGCAGTGAATCGAGCCACGGATTTTAATGTTGCAAGTCGATAAAGTTACCGCTGATTCACCCATTTGGTTTGATGTTTGTAATTAAGCACAAAGCTATACAATGGGCTATCTGTGCTCTGCCCACCACGGAATCGAAACCCGGATTCTAGCGTTGTAAGTCCGCAGACATACCGCTGTGCCACTGGGAGGCATTGATCCACCGAAGGACTAACAACAAAGGGCTACGACATACGAGAAATAACTTTAAATAATAATTTAATAATTACTAATAGTCTGCATGGCCAGGTGGTTAGGTCGCTTAACTCGCAATCTGACGGTCGTGAGTTCGAATTTCCTTTCCACCAAACATGCTCGCCCTTTCAGCTGTGGGGGCGTTATAATGTTTCGGTCAATCCCATTCTTCGTTAGTAAAAGAGTAGTCCAAGCGTTGGGGGTGGATGGTGATGACTAGTTACTATCCCTTTAGTCTTTCACTGCTAAATTATGGAAGGCTAGCGCAGATTGCCCTCGCTTTGCGCGATATTCAAGACAAACCAAACTAATAACCTGTTGTTGTTTTGTTTCAAAAACATGTCCAAGAGTAGAAAATCTTAAATTCACTTGCATGGATCACAGAACAAAAATACTAATCGCCAGTTACTACAGTGACAATGTAAATATGTATAAAAATGGCGTAATGTATAATTTTTGGTTTAATAATAGCTATTTAAAATTAATTCTAAAATATATAAAATTAGCGAAATTTAATTTTATAATAATAATACTAGTTATAAGTAAATATAGTAAATGTTGTAACATTTCTATTCAGTTTTTAAACCTGAAATATGTCCAACTAAAGTGAAAGCTTTTATTCACATTGAAAGTGAAGAAATTAGTCTCAAAACATCACACATATATATATATTTCGAAACGTTTATCATGTGAACTATTTTAGCATTTCTTCTTTGTTTACATTTTGTATTTTCAATTAACTTAAAATAACTCCTACTAGAATACAAACACGGAAAGAGTTGTGATATTCTTCCAATTAAACCGAAAATGAAATTAAATGAGAAGCTATAAGCAAGAGATTGTGTTATGAAAATCAAATGTTATAAAACAAGAGAGTATGTTACCAAAATTCAATCTTTATGAAACTAGAAAATGTGTTATCAAAATTAAACCAGAGAATATGTTACCGAAATTAAATCTATGCAGGATTAACTTTAATTTAGCTTGAAATCGTATATGCGTAATTAAAATATTTATGTAGGCTAATGTTTCAAATATACGAACACAAGCGCTTTCGATTAAACCATTGAACAATACAAGGAAACAAACTGAGTTTAATTAGTATTTTTAGGAGTTATCAACACGAACGTAGGAAAATATAATATCGTTTATTGGAAAAATTTTACTTTTGTTTGTTTGGAATTAAGCACAAAGCTACACAATAGGCTATCTGTGCTCTGCCAACCACGGTATCAAAACCCGGTTTCTAGCATTGTAAGTCCGCAGACATACGGCTGTGCCACTGGGGGGGGGGGGGCAAAGGTTACTTGAAATATATGTTTCAAAGCCAATCAAACATATCACTTAACAGTTCCAGTCTAAAAATGACTAAGCAGAAAGCTAAAAGAGTAAAACCTTGTACTACACGAACATGTTGGACGTATATTACAGCTAAAGAATATGGTTAGGTAACTAGGAATCTGAAATGATATGATCAAATATAGCACTTAACAATGACCAAAAAAGCCCCCAAAATTTAAAACTTTACAAAATAAAGATAGAGAAAGACCATGTGTAAGTAAGACATAGATCTGATTTGGCTTTAATGAATAATGAAGTTATTTTCTCTTGACTGTAATTAGTCCCCCCCGATGGCTCAGCGGTAAATCTGTGAAGTATAATGCTAACAATCTGATTTCGATATCCACCTAGGCAGAGAACAGATAAGCTAATTGTGTAGCTTTACGCTTAACAACAAACAAACAAAGAATTTAATTGTTAGTTAAATAGTGACAAGGCTTAGCGACATAAAAAGGCATTATCGTTACACGAGTGACAAAAGCACCAGTTTTTTGAAAATAGGTACCTATGGGCACAAATAACTATGCTCCAAACAACTTGGTCATATTAAAAGAAATAAAAATCTGTAAAAATCTACTTTACGTCATATTTTTTATTAATTAACATACAAGTTAATGTAATACATCGTTTTGCACATTTTCAGTAATAAGGAATCCATTGCTACCATTATTGTTATGAAAAACAATACAGAGACAATCTACTTTAACTATAATTGATTAAATATTACCAGTATGGGGTAGACAATATTGGCTGAATTATTCAAAATGCATTATATTTTCTATAGCTTGTGTGTGAATAGACACAGTACATAAAATGCTCATCTGATATAAAAAAGTAATATTTTGTACTTTCTAGGCATAATGGTTTGTTAAACACCTGTATCGATACCTAAAGCATACAATTGGTCACAAATGTTGTCCTGAAATAGATTGAACTTTCCTGTGTATTAATCTTTGTTCTTGAGCACTTTTTACCTCAGACTGCTTGTTGCCATGCTGAATGGGATCCGCATCCCACCAAACATGCTCGCCCTTTCAGCCGTGGGGGTGTTATAATGTTACGGTCAATCCCACTATTCGTTGGTAAAAAAAGTAGCCCAAGAGTTGGCGGTGGGTGGTGATGACTAGCTGCCTTCCCTCTAGTCTTACACTGCTAAATTAGGGACGGCTAGCGCAGATAGCCCTCGTGTAGCTTTGCGCGAAATTCCAAAACAAACAAACAAACTGAATGGGATCCATTATATAGTAGGTTTAAGATTTCCATTTCAGCTTTATTTAATTAAGAGGTAATAAATAATTAAAATTAATAATTATAATTTTCATAGCAAAATAGTTAAGTGCAAGCTTAATTCAATAAAATTAATTTATAAAAGTTTTCTTTATTATCTCATCGTAGGTAATGATCACGTAACTGCCTGAACATGGATTGGTCTTGCTGTGTTATATGTCAGAGCAAAACCGACACATCACTTTTATCGTGTCCTCAACATCGTACAATTCGAGATATCAGAGAAGTCTACTCAAATCATCTGGAAAATGTGCAGCATTTCAGAGATCTTAATGCATTACTTGATTCTGTAGACTTTGGCAAACAAGTACACCAGAATATTTCATGGAAAACAGAGCATCGTGGCATCATGCATGTCATACAAATTCAACAAATCAAAACTAGAAAGAGAAATCAATAATAAAGAAAAACAATTACAGAATGAGCATTAAGATAAAGAGGCAGAATCTTCAAGTGGTGTCCGGCGCTCAAAGCACCACCCAAATACCAATTTTTGTATTTTCTGTGATGAAATGGAGATCTTTATGAGTATGTCACAGACTTTGGAGATGCAAATCTCAGAGCCATGGCTATTGACATGCAGGACACTGACGTTCTTTCGAAAATATTATGTGATGACTTTGTGGCAAATGATGCCCAATATCATCATTTGACGAACTACCGTAACCGTTATCGTTCCTTTCGATCCGACTGCAGTCCGACACGTGCCAAGCGAGGATCGTCGGCTGAAAAGGATAAAATGATTAAAGCAAGAGCCGTTGCAGAACCTGTAATTCATATAACAATTTCAGCTGAAGAAGGAGTTCACATTTTAAACTTTCAAATGTTCATGAAATGTACGAAAAGCCTTTCAGTAAGTTTGGAATCGATACAGCTTTCAACAAGACACGTCAAAAAGAACAGCTATTTAAACACTTTGAACATGTTGGTTTGCAGGAACAATCTGATGGTAAAAACACAATCCTTGCATTTCCTAAGAGAATTCAACATTTGCTGAAAGATGCATTTTTCCTCCATGATTATGATAAAGACGCTCAATTATTCACCAAAGTTGCAAAATTATGCAGAAAGGAAATTTGCATGGAATCTGTCATGTTTTCAGATAGTTTTGAGACAGGCTATCAGGAAGACATGATACCCAACACAAGGCTTCTTCTCTCCATGATTCTGTACGGGTCAAGTCTGGCAGTTCCCGCGAAAGACTCACAACTCTTTTAACACTGACACAGATATTGCTGCACAATTGCAAAAAGAAAGTAGATGTAGAAACCGAGCACCACCGACACATACTGAAGAGAGAGCCACACCTACCATTGTGCATCAGCATGAATATCCACACGTAAACTAAGAGCAAAAAACTTGTTAACCAAATGGCAAAACTTGGACTCAGCTGTTCGTATGAACGAGTCATACAAGTAGAAAATACATTGGCTTTATCAATGTATAAACAATGTGAGGAAGAGGCTTTTTACTGTGGCTGTTATTGACAATATTGACCACAATCTGTCGTCATCCACATCACAAGGGCCATTCCATGGAACAGAAATAAGTATAATTCAACAACCATTGCATGAGAGACCTTGAGAAGCGTAGTAATTTGAAACAAAAACCACAACTTCCAGATAGCTATGCTATTGTGCCAGTTGTATGTATGAATGCATCTGCAGCAGCTGTTCCAGAGCTAGCAACAAATATAGCACCACATAGCACTGGTATTGTCACTCAGGCCAGATCTAGAGAAGAAGATTGGATTAAACATGCTGTAAAACTGCTAAATAAACCAGACTTGACAAGGGAGCATGCAATATCTTTGGCAGTGTACCATGCTTCACTTCAAAAATAACCTGAGAATTTGCCAATGATCACTGTTTTATTACCACTCTTCATGGAAAAAGCTGACTCACCCGCCATGATCAAACACGGAATGAGTATTATTCAAATAATAACTATGGTGACTTATGACTGCCCCCTATTCGCTATGTGTAAATATATACAATGGAAAT